CTGTATTCAAGTAATTTGTGTGTGTACCGTGCTTTATTTGAGGCACTGTTTCAGTAGCTGATGTAGAACAAAGTTAGAGTCCAGTGGCACCTTTAAGGCCAGCAAAGGTTTATTCAGGGTATGAGCTTTCATGTGCAGGTACACTTTATCAAATACATTGGTGTGTTATTTGAAGGTTGTCTCCATATGAACAATGGAAAGATGGGCTAGAAGTGTTGCCACTCAATATGAGGCCACTATTAAAGTCCTGGTTTGTTAATGTATCCTCTCTAAATATTTTTGTTTGTGGCTTGTTGCTGCCTCTTCTTCCAGGACGAGCGAGCCTTGCCGAAAGGAGACTTTTTCCCTCCGGAGAGGCCCCAGCAGCTTCCGCGTAAGTGCATCCGTGAATCAAAACAGGCAGTGGAGATGACTGCTTTGAGAGTTCTGGGGAGAAGTGCTTATACATTGCCTGTTTTCTCTTGGGCCACACGTCATTCCTCTCGCTGTCTTCTGCTGCTGTAGGCACAGCAGCCAGGTCACGAATTCTTCATGTCATATAGTGGTCTTTGTTTACAACAGCTGTGAAGATTGATTGTATTAAGTTTGGTCCAGGAACCAAATCTTACCATCTTCACTATTGTCTGCAAAAGTTTCATCCCTGGTCCTCTTTCTCAGCAGCTGTGCTCTCCAGGGAGCCTTTTCTTCCTTTGAGTATTATAACAGTTGGGAACTGTCCTTTCTAAAATATGTAAGCAACCAAAAAAGAAGGGGAGCCAGTGTACAAGGATAGTAACAAAGCACAAAAACCACCAACTAGAGATAACCAATATATGAAATGTGTAATAATAATTCAATAATGCAAAAATATAATTATATAACAGTATTGGCCAAGGTGTAACCAAGATACAGAAGGAAGAATAATAATGGAAAGAAGAATAAAGTCCCAAGTATTTTACCGTGTCTCACTCTAGTAGTGTTGTAATATCATAGTCCAATTTGACGTGCAATTCATCGTGGAGTGGACATTTCAGAAGTTCCATAAGCCATAAAAAGCCATGACACGTAGTCCGGATGCTGGCTGCCGCGTTTTGAGGAGTTCTTATTCAAAAGCAATAGGCGATAAGGGGACCCAATCTCAGTAGAAGGCACATACAAAGCCAGTATAATCAGTCCAGAAGGATTATGAGTCCCTTCTTGGGACTTCATTCTTCTTTCCATTATTATTCTTCCTTCTCTATCTTGGTTACACCTTGGCCAATATTGTTATATAATTATATATTTGCATTATTGAATTATTATTATACATTTTATATATTGGTTATCTCTAGTCAGTGGTTTTTGTGCTTTGTTCCTTTCTAAAATATAGCCATGAAACCTATTACGTAGCTTAAACCGGTGAGCCCTGAAGACTTTCTGGATGGCATCAGCTGATTTACTTCATTACAAGCTACTTCTGAAGCTGTTGGCTTGTAGAAGTAATTTTTAAAAACAATTCACGAATTGTGGGAGCAGATTCCATCGGGGGCCATGATCAGATGTGATTCCCCTCAGTATTGGACCTCTGGAGCGGCTTCTACAGAGTCGGGCCGTTGGTCCTTCTAGCTGAACGTTGTCTCCTCTGACTGGCAACTGTTCTTCAGGGTCTTGGGCTGAGAAGGATTGAGCCAGGGTGGTGCAGCTGTTAGAGAGTCAGACAAGAAGGATCTGGGAAACCCAGGTTTGACTCCACACTCTGCCACGGAAGCCTGCTGGGTGACCTTGGGCCAGTCACACGCACTTATCCTTCCCTATTTCTCAGGGTCTTTTTGATGATAAAGTGGAGGGGAGGAGAACAGTATAAGCCTCCTTGCGTCCCCCCATTGGGAAGAAAAGTCAGAAAAGAAATGAAGTAAAATAAAATACTTTTAATTCGGGGTTGAACCTGGGGCCTTCAGTATGTAAAGCAGGTGCTCTGCCACCGAGCCACGGTCCCTCGTGTCTCCTGTAAGTTTTCTACACGCTTAGCTGTTTTGGGCTTATGCTTTAATGCTTTTTTTAAAAACATGTTTTCTCTCTCCAGATGGACTTGGGGGCATCGGCATGGGGCTGGGGCCAGGAGGGCTACCCATTGATGCCAATCACTTGAATAAAGGGCTTGGCATGGGCAACTTGGGGCCCGGAGGTGAGTGAGAAATTGTATCCTGGGTGGGGTGGAGAGGCTGTGGTGATCTCTGGCCACTTGCCTGACGTGGGCTTCTGGGTCCCCCAAGTGGCTTAGACTTTGTGGTTGAAAAGCAGAGCATATCGCCACTTTCTGAGAGCAGTGCGTCAAGTTGGATCTGGCTATAAAGTTTTCACTCATGCACACTCCCTGTATCAATGTGCCAGGGCTCTGTGTTCTGTAGAGGTTACCCCTGGACAAAGTGGCTTTGTTCCTTGAGGGAGCTTTTTCTTTGGTTGAATTTGAGTCTGCTGTCTTGAGTGCTAGAAGCTTTCATTTGAAATTAAAGCTGATACCTTTTGGATTGTGTGAACACCCACAGACATGCACAAAAGTGGTAGCTACTGGGGATGGTGCTTTAACCAGCTGAAAGGCGACCACTGATGTAGTGCAAAGTTCCACCTGTAGTTCAGAGATTGTAGGCCGCTCTGCTGATCCATGGAGAAGTCTAAAAATGGCCATGTCCTCTCTTGCTTGCAAATTAGGGAGTAAGCATTTGAAAGCTAAGGAACCCAGCATCAAGTTGAGTACAGAAACAGGGAGGGGGCAAAGCCTTTGGACTGGAGTTTGTTGAGTCTTAGAATGGAATACTGTATAAACTGCAAGCAAAAGTGGATCAGTTGGTGGTTGCAAAGGAGACTTCAATATGCAGGAGAAACTACCAGGACAGAGAACCTGAAAAAGCTAGCAGTTGATCAGGTGTCTCCCTAACAGTGGGAGAGGCCAGAATGAAAACTTAGTGTGTGTGTGTGTGTCATGTGTACCGGGTGGAGAATAAGTAGAAGCCAAATTCTGTCATATTAGCTGATAGCCGTGGCAGGGATTAATACCTGTAAGCAAGTCCCATTTGAAATTGCGTAGTTGAAGAATCCCTCTCTGATGCCTGAACTTGGTATTTGTCTTGTTCAAGAGAACACGCGCAGTGAGGCTTCGGTTACTGCAAGATGGGGTAGGGGGCTGGCTGGTGAAACCAGCAAAGCAGAATGAACACACATGAACATATGAAGCTGCTTTATGCTAAATCAGGCCATTGGTTCATCAAAGTCAGTATTGTCTATTCAGATGGGCAGCAGTTCTCCAGGGTTTGAAGGCAAAGGTCTTTCACATCACGTTTTAACTGGAGATTGAACCTTGGACCTTGTGCATGCCAAGCAGAGGCGCTACCAATGAGCCACAGCCCCTCTGGGGAATATGAGAAGAGCGGAGAAGATGAAGCAATGTACAGACATATTGAGCTGTGTCTAATTTCCACACTGTTTCTTCTAGGAATGGGCATCGAAGGCTTGGGCTTTGGAATGAACAAAATGGGAGGTGAGTGCTGGAACTGCACCCACAACCAGTACAAAATGGTGAGGTTAGGATGGAGACCTGCCTTACTGTCAGTTTTGAAAGAATAGTCAGCTGTCATGTGCCGCATCATCTGTCCCTTCCCCCTCTGTCTCCCCCTCCCCCTCAAATAGCAAGCTGGGGTGTGAAAGCTGACTTTTATACATTCTGTCTAGCAAGTGTTTGAGGCCTTCCATCCAGTATTTGAAAAAGAGCCTAGTACTAAGTCATCATTCTCTGCTCAAAGCAAACATCTACCCCCAACTATACATACCGGGTGCTTTCAGGTTTTGGGTACTGTCTCCAGGTTTACTGTGCCACCTTTTAGATAAAAAGGGAGTTGCTTGGTTGATCCTTTACCATGTGCAAAATTTGGTTTATTAAATATTTTTAGTCCGATTCTCACTAGGATACAAAACTACATACAGTGGTAGTCAAACTTAATACGTGATCGAAATAAACATACAACTGTAGAAATAGACAGTTGTTGCAATAGAGTCCGTTATTTTCCAGCATTAATAAGAGGCATCAAGTTTTATCGCACAAGTCCAAAACCAGCAAAATTCAAAAACAGGGACACAATCCAAAATCGGTATCCCTACAAAACACCTTCCCTACAGAGGGAAGGCCTGGAGAGTGACACACACACACACACCTGCGACTCCGAGGCCAGCAGGCCAGGGGGTCCCTAGAAGGATTAAGGATTAAAACACCTCCTTCACACAAGGAGCATAGTTTGAGTCCAGCAACACCTTTTAAGACCAACAAAGTGTAATTCTGCGTAAAACTTTAAAAATACAGAAAAAAAGAGTTAATTCTGCATATAAGCTTTTCTGTGCTTATACCCAGAATTAAACTCCATTGGTCTTAAAGGTGCCACTGGACTCAAACTGTTCTGTTGCTTGGACTGACAACGGCTACCCACCTGACACACACTTCATGCAGGGAGTTCATTTTATAAAAATCCACGGATGTACTTCTGTGCACTTCCTTCCCTCTGCCCAATTCTGATCTGCCAGCTTGTTTGTCTTAACACCTAATAACAAAATACCTATTTGGCAGGAATGGAAGGCCCCTTCAGTGGGATGGAGAGCTTGGGCCGTTTCCCTTCGGGAATGAACATCGGCAGGATGAGTGGTGAGGACCCTCGATGATTGATCTTGAGAAATGTTGTGTTTAATGCGTCTAGGGAATGAGAGTTGGAATGTTGAGTGAAGAATGTCCAAAAGGCTTAAAATCACTACTCTTAAATTTCAGCCACCCCGTTTGTTTTTTCTGTAAATCTATGCAAATTGGAGGGGGGGGGATTTGCTTTCATTCCTTGTCGGTGAGCTTCCCAGAAGCATATTGCCGCCAGCTGTGGGAAACAAGATGCTGGAGAAGATGGGTCTTCTTTACTGATGTAAAATATGTGGTAGAGAACTAAACTACCTTCTTTCCTTCCAGAGATGGATCGTGCGATTGGAGGTAGCTTTGAAAGAGACTTCCCCAGAAATGAAATGGGAATGCCTCGTACTTTTGGAGACACTCTGGATAGAGGAATAGGTATGTGGCTCTGATTTCCTGGTTTGAGGTGTCGCCTCCCATATATCATGGCCTGGCTTGGAACTCCACATCTTTGCAGCAGATCTGGTTGACTTCTTAACCGTGCAGAACTTGGGCCCCGGTCACACGGAGAATTTGCTGTGTGAAAGGCTGGGTGGATTTTTGAGGCGCGATCACACTGCAACATCTGGCAAGCGTAGCGCACCCATGGCCAACCCGTGGCGTGGCGTGCCGCCAAAGATGCGCAGTTAAAAAGTACCTGCAAAGATCTACTAGCAAATGGTTTGCCATGGGCTGCAGACGGACTCTTACAGTGTGATCGCGCCGGTGCGCGCCTATTCCCTCTAGCCGTCCTCTTTGCAGCGCGCCGAAACCCTGGTTCGCTGCCGTCGTGTCTGATCGCATAATTGCAGATCAGAATGCGATGGCGCAAATAGCCACCACCCCCTCCCCTGTTTTCGGGCACGTGTGGCCGGGGCCAAAGTTCCATAAAGTTGCCTTTTCAGGCCCAAAGCAGGAGTGTGTACACGGTGGGTTATTTGAGCACCAGCATCCACTGCACAGCATCCACAGCAAAAGCCACAAGCTCAGGTTGCGGGAGAAAGACTGATGGTGTGGAATATTTCAGTTTCAGTTTTTGTTGTTGTTTGTTGTTCAGTCGCACAGTCGAGTCCGACTCTTCGCGACCCCATGGACGATCTCTCTCCAGGCCTTCCGGTCTTCTGCCGTCCTCTGAAGTTGGCTCAACTTCATGTTCGTTGCATCGATGACACTGTCTAACCATCTCATCCTTTGCCGTCCCCGTCTTCTTTGACCTTCAATCTTTCCAAGCATCAGGGTTTCAGTTTAGTTTATTGTAATTAGCCACTGGCCGTTACAAGATTACAAACACAAATTGCGAACTAACTATAGGTTAGAGTCATAATATACAAAAATTCCAAAGATTGTTAACAAAATATGACTAATTTAATAAAGGTAAAGGTAAAGGTTCCCTTGCTCGAAAGCCAGTCGAATCTGACTCTAGGGTTGCGGTGCTCATCTCCGTTTCAAAGCTGAAGAGCCAGCGCTGTCCGAAGACGTTTCCGTGGTCATGTGGCCGGCATGTGCCGGACTAATTTAATACAGTAGCCTAAATAATGCCCCTTCCCGATGCCACCTTGGAACGTGCTTTCCTCAGGCACAAGGAGTGTTTGCCTAAGACGAGTAGCTCTCCAGCGCTCTTACACTGAGGAGGGTGGTCCTCGCACTGGAGGAAAACACCACTGCTAGCAGAATGGACCTGTGGGATCCAATCCAAAGGTAGACTTGTTCTGTGGAACCAACCTGACTACTACATTTTGTTTGGACAAAACTGGCATCTAAAATAAAGATAGGAAAGCAACTGTTACATATTGATGTCACATTGTCCCTAATAAGGCAATTTTACTTGCACTCTTAGGACCTAAAATGGAAGGTACATATTGGTACTGATATTATTTCCAGTATATGCAACTACTTCTGACATGCCAGATATATTTGTGGCCCCAAATAGAAATCTTTTAGTGTGTCATTCAATTCCATATTGGAACATTCCATTTTTGGTCCTATATTGTTAATTGTTTATTGACTTGCTTTGGTTACAGGGACTTGGTAAAAAAAATAAAATCCCAACCTTTATATACATGGCCCAAGTGCCAAAAAACCAGTGTCCAATTGGGAAGGGAAAAGGGGGGGAAGAGTGGGAGCAAACTGATCCCCCAGATGCGTTGTCATTGTCTCGGGTTTGCCTTGGGCAGAGAACTTGACCCTGCATGCCAAGGAAAATGGTTAGTTGAATATGGTGAGTGCTATTTAGGATGAACATTTACTGTTGACTTCCATTTCCAAGGCTGGTGAAAGAGAGCAGGTGTACCCTTGCTGGTTGTTTGGGAAAACCATATACCGAGGTTTCAGAATACACACAGAGTCTCTGTTCCCCGCCATGGACAAACTGGTAAAAGCTTTGAAGGTGTGCAGACCAGTATAAATATGAAGTGCAGGAGAAGAAGTATGAAGCACGGTTGGGAATCTAATTCCAGTTTTATAGGCCAGAAATATTCCAAAGATGCTTCAGAGACAACAAAATGGATTTTAAAAAGAGAGACGAAAACATAAATATTTCCACTGGATTGGGTTCTGTAAATCTGTTCTCTGAGTGGTGGTGGTCTGCTCTGGAACCAGGAGCGAACTTCTTACGTTGGGGGATGACTCCTTGCGCAAAGAGAAGCATCCACTGCTAGCTGAATGGATCCACTGGGTCCATCTCCCATATTCATTTATTTATTGTTTGCATCTATATCTCGCCCATCCCGCAGGTTCAGGGCAGGTAACATCATTAAAATAAATAAAATTTTAGTTTACAACATTAAACATTAGAACACCATAAAACATCATAACAATTAAAACAATGGGTACCAAAGAGTAACAGATGGACCTGTCAAGGAAGATCATCCTAGAACCTCCAGAGTTATCCTAGTCTCTGCCTCCGATCAAAACCAGTCTGAATTTTCAGATTAGCAGGGTGTATGGTTAAAAAAATGCTGCTTGAGCTGCAGCCCAATGAGATTGTGTTTCTTGGCCTGTGAGAAGCTGTTGAATCCTTGCCAGCCCTGATGCAGCCGCATCCTGTATTCTCGTTCCAGGTGGCGCCGGCGGAGCCAGCATCCCCGCGATTGATAGGATGGCCCCGGGAATCGATCGCATGGCCACAGGGATGGATAGGCTGCCCTCTGGGATGGGGCATGGGATGGAGAGAGTGGGGTCCGAGATGGACAGGATGGGGCTGGTGCTGGACCGCATGGGCTCCGGCGTAGATAGGATGGGGTCCGGCATCGACCGGATGGCGCCTCTCGGCATCGACCACCTGGCCTCCAGCATAGACAGGATGGGCTCCGGGATAGATCGGATGGGCACAGGGATGGAAAGGATGGGCACTGGCCTCGGCTTTGGCCTTGAGCGGATGGGGTCAGCCATGGACCGTGTCGGCACCACCATGGACAGGATGGGCACCGGTGTAGACCGGATGGGGACCAGCATGGATAGAATGGGCCTGGGCATGGACAGGATGGTACCTGCTGGGATGGGCCCCGTACTGGACAGGATGCCAGCCGGCTTAGACCGCATGGGGGCCGCCCCCATTGACAGGATGGGGCTGGACCGCCTAGCAGCCAGCAATATGGACAGGATGGGGCTGGACCGCATGGGGGCTGCGGCCACAACCATGGAGAGGATGGGGCCAGGCATGGGGCAGGGCATGGGGGCAGGGCTAGACAGGATGGGGCTGGCCATGGGCAACACCTTCGAGAGGACGATGGAGATGGACCGGGGGAACTTTGCGGCCGGAAACTTCACCGGAGCCCTGGGAGCCGGAGGGCCTGCCGCCGCTGCCGCAGCTCCCGGCGTGGCTAGGAAAGCTTGCCAGATTTTTGTGAGAAACGTGAGTCGATGGGATGCTTTAGGCAATGTTAACTGCTTTGAGGTGGGATAACAGCAATGGCAGGGCGCGTTGGGTTTTCTACACCAGTTTGGTGTAGTGGTTAAGTGCGCGGACTCTAATCTGGGAGAACTGGGATTTGATTCCCCACTCCTCCACTTGCACCTTGGGCAAGCCACAGTTCTGTTAGAACTGTTCTCTCGAGGGCAGTTTCTGTCAGAGCTCTCTCAGCCCCACCCACCTCCCAGGGTGTCTGTTGTGGGGAGGGGAAGGTGTTTGTAGGCCGCTCTGGTGCTGCTGCTGCTTACCCTTTCCAGTGGCCGAATGAGGCAGGGTGAGTTGGGAGCCACGCTCCTGTAGACCTTACACCCCTGTGGACCGCAGTCTGGTGCGACCTCAGATGCACTGCCTGAGCATCAATTAAGTGAGGGTTATAACTGGCAAAGCAGTGCATTGATGATGGGGCTGTCTGTCTATTCTTTCCAGCTTCCTTTTGACTTCACATGGAAAATGCTGAAAGACAAGTTCAACGAATGTGGTGAGTGATGGGTCGTGATGCCAGTTTCCCACCAGGGAGATCAGAGTGGCATGCAGGGCGTCTGCCCCCGCCCTCAGTAAATGTCACAATATTACTGTGCGGTAGACTGGGTTTGCCTGATTGAGTCCAAAAACGTGTTCAGCGAGAATGAACTTTAAATGGAAGATAGTAAAGGCTGTGCTGGGGCTGGTATTCCATAAGCAGGGCACCACCATGGAAAAAAATGTTCCCCGTTTCTGTCCTCCTACGCTCTGACAGTCAGGGCCGCAGCCTCAGAAGCTGCGGGTGTCCCATGTTGTCAGCTCATCATTGGGGCAACGATCCTTAACAGCACTGACAAATGGGGTGCAGGGTATTTTGTCTTTTGCCAAGTTGCCTACAAAATTTGAACAGTCCAGAGGGGTCAGCTGACATTACTCTGTAGGCCCAAACTCCCCGTCAGTGTTTCCCCTTTTGCACCTGCGGACTCACTTCCCCATGCTAACTCTTCCTCAGGTCATGTCCTGTACGCAGACATCAAAATGGAGAGCGGGAAGTCGAAAGGCTGTGGCGTGGTTCGGTTCGAGTCCCCCGAGATCGCCGAGAGAGCCTGCCGCATGATGAATGGCATCCAGCTCCGCGGCAGAGAGATTGATGTGCGAATTGATAGGAATGCTTAAGTCGACCTTTTTAAATGCAGAGGAAGTGTTGGATTTGTACTTGTCCTAAAACTTTTTTTTTTTAATTTTGCCTGGATGTAAAAGATGGTTAAGACAACTCAGTTGCTTTCTGGAAGTAATTTTAATTCCTTTTTTTAAAAAAAAGGTGTTATGCATTGACACCATTTAACATGCACAATCTCACATGCTTTTTTGTAGTGGTTCATCTTGTTGAATTTAAAGATGTATACAGTATGTCTGGTAATGAATTCCAATTTCTGGTGGCTTTTTCTGTCTTTCTACCCCTTGTAAGTAGAAGAACTTGGGGGAAGGGGAGACTTCTCAAGAAAATCAGTAGTGCTGGTTACCGTGTGTTCTCCTGTGGACAGTTAATCCTCTGGAAATTTGTCTGAATGTCTGAACTTGTGTGTTGGTAATGTATGATTAGTACTTGAGTTGGACTGAAACCATCTGTCTTGTATGGGCTTTGTCACTATTAAAACCATTTTCTTGTGGCTTGTATGACCCTGTGTCGGTTGTCCATGTGTGCTCCCAATGGCATATCTCCATTGACTCAGATTTACTCCATTCGTGCCTCATTCACCTTTCTTTCCTAGTAGGAGGAGACTACTTCCCACTTGTTCATCACATTGGGGGAGGAGAGCCACCCCACCTGTGGAGGTCTCAGAACAGGCCGCTTACAAGAAAATGTGCACCCAAGCAAGCTAGGGCAACCTCGTAAAATGCAAAGCCACTACTGATGACATTGCTTTATACACAGTTGGGTGGTGGGTCACTTAGACCGGCCATGACTCTCCAGAAGTGTGGAATCTTCTTGTTCAGGTCAGCTTTAACAATACACAGTATTTAATGATTCTTATGAACATCAATTTGTGTATCTATTAAGACTTTTACAATATTGCGTAGGAAATTCTGATATTTTCAAGGGAAAGTCCAACACCATCATATCCTCAATGAGCGCCCCGTTGACCACTCATTTCACGAATCTTCCTCAGAAACAAACATGGTTATTTAGAATAAAAAGAGACATGAAGCTGAATGTTATAATGTTAGAATTTTTTTTAAATATCAATAATTTTTAACTTGAATGTTTTTAAACTTACTTCCAGTTCCACTGCAAGTGCTTGAATTAGGAGCAAGCCAATTAATTAATTTCTAGTAGTAGCAACCAGTCACTATTTTTATCTGGCTAAAAGCCTTCTTTTTCAAATTGGCTGGTATTTGCTCTCTATCAAATTGGCTGGTATTTGCTCTCTATGAGGTAGAGAGCAAATAACACCCAATTTGAAAAAAAAGGCTTCTAGCCAGATAAAAATAGTGACTGGTTGCTATGGAAGGAACTTTAAAATCATTCAAGTTAAAAATGTATCTTTCTATTCTAAATAACCATGTTTGTTTCAGGATAATATGAAAAATTTGAAGAAAGAAAGAGGTTAAATTGTATCAAAAATAAGTAAAGTAGTATCAAGAGGCTGACACTTTCCAACCTTATAGGTTTACTCCTGAGGAAGATTCGTGAAATGAGTGGTCAGCCGGGCGCTCACTGAGGATATGATGATGTTGGACTTTCCCTTGAAAATGTCAGAATTTCCTAAGCAATATTGTAAAAGTCTTAATAGACACACAATTGATGTTCATAAGAATCATTAAATATTGTCAATTTTATCACAGTGTTTGTTTGATAGTATGAACCTGTAACTATGATCCCTTCTTTGGTTTACTTAACAATACACAGGGCATGGGCACTGCAGTTCTTGAAAGACAGTCTTAAGAATTTGGGTGTTCTAAAACCCAGTCTACTTTTATGCTACTGTTGTTCTGTCCCACATGACCTCCAGTTCACTGGGCAATCCCCGGACTCCCTGCCATTGTGGAAGTCACTTGTCTCAAGAAATGAAATCCAAAACAAGAACACAATCCACAGAATACCTTTTACTAGAGCCAGCCACAGTTACAGAAACCTCGGGGGAGGGTACCAGCTGATTAAGAAAATACAGAATTACTCCGCTTTTTTAGCAGGGGGGAGGTAGGCTCTGGTGGCTGATCTTCATTGAATTCTGGGCTCCTGGAATTTTGTTTTTAAAATACACATGAAAAAATGCCAGCCCTGTATCAGTTTGGGCGTGTGGCCTGGCGTGATGTGGTCCATGGGGTCGCAAAGAGTCAGACTTGACTGCAACTGAACAACAACAAACAAATACCTCAAAACTAAGACATAAAATATGCGGTGGGTTGATATTTTCCTGTTTGCTTCCACAATAATGTAATTCCTTAGCAGACATCCCATTAGTCTCGATGTGCTTGGTCATTATGGGGTAGTGTACAACAAGCGTGTGCAGCAGGAGGTTGGTTGTATTACAGTAATTTGACCTGCCTTTGTGCCAGTACTGTTGGCGAACTCATCTCTTGAGGGACCAGTGAAGCTTTCTCACCTCAAAAGCTTTTGGAACTGCAGTGCTAAACAGTTCCTAGGAAGTAAGTCCAATTACTCTGAATTCAGTCCTATCATAAGCAGATATGCTGAGACTTGCAGTGTGAATGCCGTTTAGTTCTTCCTGTTGGGTAATCTTTAAAGACTTGATATGTGGATGAGTGAAAATACACCACTGACATGGGAGGGAGCACACCTTGGTTTGAGGGCCAGCTGAGCTCATATGACAAATGGCCTCAGTCACCTACAGAACCTCTGTGATACATACAGATTCAGGGATCTGGTTGGTCAGTGAAAGCTATGGAAGTGCAGGGTGTCAAGAGTCCCACGGCAATCAGTTCTCAACGTTCCTTCAGAAGGTTTGAGTTCATTGAGCAGAAAAAGGCAGGTCATCTGTGCATACATTCTGTGTCAGAACTAATTGCAAGTGTGCGGAATGCAAAGATATCCTCAGTTCAAAACGGGGTCCCCTGATGGGTCAGAGCCAATCAGAGATTAGGCTGAAGGGTGCCTAAGCTAATGGGTCTGCGTTCCCAGAGAAGCATCAGCAGTAAGGTACCAACGTCACAAGCCTAGGCTAACAGATGAGGCGAGGCGAGGAGAAATGAAAGCTAAGATTCCAGCACAGCAACAGACTATTCATCAGCCTCGCCCCCCCTTCCCCCTGCCATAGCAGCAGCACAGCTGACACAGGGTTTCCTTTCCATTAACAATTGAATGCAGCAGCCTTGAGATCTCATGCGGAGCAGCTTAATACTTCCAAAAGTAAAAAGCAGACTGTGAAAAAGAGCCAGAGGGATAGGCAACGTTGCTTCATACTAGTACCTACTGCTTCAGAGTCCATTGAGAATGGTGGTTGAGTACTGAAAGATACTGCATCCGACCATTTATCTGGCAAGGTCAATATTGTTTCCACAGACTGGTATAGGGCCCCCCGCAGGGTCTCAGGCAGAGGTCTTTCATGTGGTCTGCCAGCTCCTGTTAACGAAATGCTAGAGATTGAATCTGAGGCTAACTGGATGCCAAGCAGATGCTCTGCAATGAGTAGCATCTCCTCCTTTTTCACATCCCATGTACCACCAGCACCCAGAATGTAAAGCCATCCTCTACAGTGTTTTCCCTAACAGCTGATCGTTGAAGAAAGTGCTTCTAATTATAGAAGTTGCCCTTAGTTTTCATTGTAGCCAGTGATAGGTTAAATATGTAAATCTATATCCCCATGTGAATGCTGTGTCTGCTTGCTCAGAGTTCTAGCAAGGGAAGGAGCCAGACACGGTTGATGAGTGGGGGCCACAATTCGCTCCCCCATCCTATCAGCATGGTCTCTTGTGTTCCATTGATGCAAGACCTGCCGCCCGTCTGCTCCTTGGGAGGAAAGCGATGGCGAACCTCAACAGCATGATAAAAAGTAGAGACATCACCCTGCCAACAAAAGTCTGCATGGTCAAAGCAATGGTATTCCCAGTAGTCATGTATGGCTGCGAGAGTTGGACTATAAGGAAGGCCGAGCGCCGAAGAATAGATTCTTTTGAACTATGGTGCTGGAGAAGACTCTTGAGAGTCCCTTGGACTGCAAGAAGATCCAATCAGTCAATCCTAAAATAAATCAACCCTGACTGTTCCCTGGAAGGCCAGATAATGAAACTGAAGCTCAAATACTCTGGCCACCAAATGAGAAGGGAGTACTCACTGGAGAAGACCCTGATGCTGGGAAAGATTGAAGGTCAAAGAAGAAGGGGACGGCAAAGTATGAGATGGTTAGGCAGTGTCATAGATGCAACGAACATGAAGTTGAGCCAACTTCAGAGGACGGCGGAAGGCCTGGCGTGATCTGGTCCATGGGGTCGCGGAGAGTCAGACTCGACTGTGCGACTGAACAACAACAACAACAAAATGGCTAGACGGCCATCTGACAGCAATGCTGATTCTGTGAATTTAGGCAGATCATGAGAAGGGAGGGCAGGGAGGTGCTTAGTTCTCATGGCCAGTGCTTAGTTCTCAGCGCTTAGTTATCATCAGTGCTTAGTTCTCGTGGTCCTTTTTACCTGCCCAGGTAAATGCCGATCACCACTTTGGGGTCAGGAAGCAATTTTTTCTTCAGGCCAGTTTGGCCTTGGGGATCCTGGAGGGCTTTTTTTGTCCTCTTCTGGGCATAGAGTACTGGTCATGGGGGAGGTATTTGTAGATTTCCTGCATTGTGCAGGGGGTTGGACTAGATGACCCTGGAAGTCCCTTCCAACTCTGGTTCTAAAAGTATGCAAAGTGCAAGGACGTAAAAGGGATTCTGAGCAGGGGCACAGTGACATTTCCATGTGTGACTGAGCTGCTTCCCAGGAAGAGTGCCTTTAAAGCACCCCCCCCCCCCCCAGCCCCACACTTCTCTTATGAGATGTTTCTAATAGGAAATGGAATGGAAACGCTGCCTTCTCCATGCACGGGCCTTTCCTTCGTTTCGGTCTCAGGAAGGCGCCGACGCTTAGCGCGTGGTCCAGGCCAGGCCGTCGCTGGGGCAACCAGGTAGCCATGGCGTAACGGAAGAAGGCGCCGCGCGAGGTGCGCCCGTGATGTCATCAGCCGGCGCCGCGCGAAAGGTCGCTCATTCGGCCCATTCGGTTCCTTGGGGAAGATGGCGGCGGCCGTGCTTTGGGGGTGCCGGGTAAGGCGGCTGAGCCCGGGAAGGAAGCGTTCCTTTCTCTTTCCCCCCTTCCGAGTTCTCCCGCGCGCGTTAAGGGTCGGGAAGGCCGCCGAGCACGTCCAGAGGGCCGCCGAGCACGTCCAGAGGACATATCATGCCTTGGTCGCATTTCCCCCCCTGTGTTCTCCAAGGATCTCCGGGTGCCATGTGTCATTCTTCCCATCCCCATTTATGTTCATAGCAACCCTAAGATGTAGGCTACATTGAGAGAGATTTACTGGCCTAGCATGCATTGTGATGTGTTAAAATAGAATGATAAAAGGGCTGGAACACTTTCCCTATGAAGAAAGGTTGAAGGCGCTTGGGGCTCTTTAGTTTGGAGAAATGACGGCTGAGGGGGTGACATGATCGAGGTTTATAAGATTATGTATTGGGATAGAGCAGGTAGAGAAGGAGGTACTTTTCTCCCTTTCTCACAATACAAGAACTCCTTGTGGGTGCTCCATGAAATTGCTGAGCGGTCGGGCTAGAACTGATAAAAGGAAGTCCTTCTTTACCCAAAGAGTGTTTAACACATGGGATTCACTGCCACAGGAGGTGGTGGCGGCTACAAGCATGGACGGCTTCAAGCGGGAACTAGATAAGCATATGGAGCAGAGGTCCATCGGTGGCTATTAGCCACAAGGTATAGATAGGGACTCTGGGGCAAGGGATGCACTGTATTCTTGTTGCTTGGGGGTGGGGGACAACAGTGGGAAGGCGCCTAGTGTCCTGGCCCCACTGCTGGACCTCCTGATGGCACCTGGTATTTTTGGCCACTGTGTGACCTTTCTGCCAGCATAAACTGCACCGGTTGGAACCGGTGCAGTTTATGCCGGCATAAACGCGATCACACTCACCTCCATTTTGCGAAGCCCTCCGGTGGACGCCCGCTCACACGCTGCGGGCGTCTGCGTGTGTGTGTTTTTTTAAAAGGACAGTTTGAGCATGCGCATAGGCAGCCATTCAGAGAATGCCGATTTTTGTGCATGCTCAACCCCCCCCCCTTACATTTAAACTTTAAAGGTAAGCACTTACCTTTAAAGTTTAAAACCCAACCTGGCCTCGCTGTAGTCCCGGACTCCTCCGGGAAGTTAAAGTAAGGCATTTTTATTTTATTTTTAAACAAACGCTCAGGGTGAAGCTTCGCCTGAGCGCATATCGCTTCCTCTTAAAAAAAAATGGCGGGGGAAAGCTGGAAGCCTCAGGCTTCCGACGGAAGTGTCTCTGTAACGGAGGAGAGTGATCAGACGCCTGGGTGCACCGATGACAACCGTTGCACTCTGTTTACCACCACTTCCGACGTAGTGGCAGAGTACAACGATTTAAAGCTCTTTACAACGGATAGAGAGGGAAGACAGATGTTCCCCGTCTGAACGCCGGTAGGTACATCGATTGCAACCGGCACAGAATCCGTTGTAAAGGCTGTGTCTGAACGCACCCCCAGAGTGTTGGACTGAATGGGCCATTGGCCTGATCCAGCATTGGCTTCTCATGTTCTTATTGTGGCAAAATGGAATTTTGAACCCCAGGCTCCACCAATCCTACTCTGACACCCTCAACTACTACAGTACTGCCTTTATTATACCAGTCTGGCTTAGCATGTGCAGACTGCCCTCTTACTTTTGCAAATGAGTTCTGGAGGCCTTTCAACCAATCGGAGAGCCAGTTTGGTGTAGCGATTAGGAGCGCAGACTCTAATTTGGGAGAACCGGGTTCGATTCCCCACTCTTCCACGTGCACCTGCTGGTGTGAACTTGGGTCAGTTACAAGTTCTTTCAGGAGCAGTTCTCTCAGAGCTCTCTCAGCCCCACCTCCCTCCCAGGGTGTCTGTTGTGGGGAGCGGAAGGGAAAGGAGACTGTAAAACGCTCTGAGACTCCTTCGGGTAGTGAAGGGCGGGTTATAAATCCAATCTCTTCTTCTTCATCCCCTAGAACAGCCTTATCACAGGGCAGATGTTCATTTGGAGTTTTGTGTTAACCGAGGGCCTCTTATCGTTCTGACCCTAGAAATGCCTTTTAAACATATGGCTCGTTTCTGGACAGTGTCCAGGCTTCGCCCGCCATGTCTTCTTTGTACATCGCAGCAGCAGACCGGCCCTACAGCTTTACCAGGTATGCGTTGCAGGTTGCGCTTTGTGTGTATGTGGAGTTGCAAGTGGAGGAGACCCTCTCCCCAACGTGCAGCACGGATTCTGATTTTTAATCATTTGCAGTATTAACTGGTTCAATGTAGGTGATTGTTTTTGGTGTCCTTTTTTAAAGCATCCTCTCCTAAAGTGTTCATTTTTGCATAGCTTTCTCAACTCTATACCTTCTGCAGGAGGTGACCGCCCACTGCAGCTTTCACCTGGAGGGAGGCAGATAACTTAACACAGGGTCCTAAATTTGAAGGGGGCCATGCAGGCCTTCTAGTCTAATGCAGGGAATCCAGAGCTAGAGCATCTTCAGCAGGTGGCTACGCAGCCTCTGCTTTGAGATCTCCAGTAAGGGAGGGTGTCCCCTCTTACACATAATGGGATTGGTTCCATTGTCAAACTGCTGTCACTGTTAGGAGTTTTCCCATAACATTCAAGCCAAATCTGCCCTTTCTTAGATCTAGTCTTGGTTTCTGGACTTAGGACCTGAATCAGGCCATCCATATTTTTTCCCCCCTGAGAAATGTCAGGCCTTAAACAAATATTTCTTTCTCACCTTCACCATCCAAGAGCCTTTTAAAGTTGAGATTCCAGGATTAGAGCTTGTGGCCTTCTGCTTGTGGCCAAGCGGGTGCTGCTGTCACTGAGTTATGGCCACAGCAGAACCATATGTTTTTGCTCGCAAACATATGAAGTTGCTTTCTGCTGAGTCAGGAGAAGGGTGCATCTGTCAGTGACTAGGAACCAGTGCAGCTAAACAGAATGTCCGGGTTCAGTGCCAGTATATCATTGAGGGCCGTTTGTTGAGCAGTGTGGGGAGGTCTGCATTGTGTACGTCCTGTTTGCAGGCTTCCTGGAAGCATTTGGTTGGAAACGGGATACTGGCTTAGACCATGCCATCATGGAACAGGATCCGGTTAGTCTCCTTACGTAAACAAAGGCTGCGGTCACACACACCAAATAATCCACTTTCAATGCACTTTCCAACTGGATTTTGCCAGTTCACACAGTAAGGTAAAGGTAAAGGTTCCCTTGCTTGAAAGCCAGTCGAATCCGACTAGGGTTGCGGTGCTCATCTCCGTTTCAAAGCCGAAGAGCCAGCGCTGTCCGAAGACGTTTCCGTGGTCATGTGGCCGGCATGACTAAACACCAAGGTGCACGGAACGCTGTTACCTTCCCACCCAAGTGGTCCCTATTTATCTACTTGCAATTTCTTGCTTTCGAACGGCTAGGTTGGCAGGAGCTGGAACTAGAGACAGGAGCTCACCCTGTCTTGCGGCACCCGGGGCTTGAACCGCTGAACTACTGACCTTCCACAGCCTGCAGTTCAGCGTCTTAACCACTTGAGCCACTGCAGCTCCAGTTCACACAGTAGAATCCAGTTTTTTTTTAAAAAAAACAACCACATTTTATTATATAGGACATAATCAATCAAATTCATCATAACTTCACATTTTAACCCAATACATCCCCTCCTCCCTTCCCCCCCCCCGTACGGCTTCCCACAGTGCTACGACCTCCCGCAAAATTCTTAATCGTCACTTTTCCATCTCTCCTCTTATTATAAGCTCAATAGGTAACTTATTACTATTACATTTATACCTTTATCCATTTGTTTTACCATTACTCAACCTTCAATAATTATTAAAGCAAAATAAATTGTCTTTTACATCCCAGTTATTTTCTAAATAGTCTTTTAAGTCTTTCCAGTCCTTAAAGAAGTCTTCTGCTTCCATATTATTCAATTTTTGTGTCATTTTGTCCATTTCAACCAAAAACAGCAATTTTCTAATCCACTCTCCAGTTCCCGGCACTTCATCTTGTTTCCAAGCTTGAGCATAGATCATTCTGGCTGTTGTTATCATATACCACATCAGTGTCCTTTTAGCCACATTGACCTCTTCCATTTTTAGTCCCAAAAGTAATATTTCTGGTTCTTTCTTAAATTTGCATTTCACAATCTTCTCCATTTCTGCATGAATCTCACTCCAAATTTTTTTGACTTTTTCACATGTCCACCATATATGATAAAATAAGCCTTCTGCTTTTTTGCACTTCCAACACTTATTCAACATATTAGTATTCATATTAGCAATCTTTTATGGTGTCATATACCATCTATACATCATCTTATAACAATTTTCTTTTAAGTTATTACATGTTGATATTTTCAGTGCATTTTTCCATAAAACTCCCAAGACTCCACAGTAGAATCCAGTTTGAAAGTGGATTATTTGGTGTGACCGCAGCCAAAATCTCCATATTCAGAGGCACGGTACTTCAATATGAGTTGTTTCTGGGCAAACAGTGCAAAGAGTGAGCTGCTGCTCTCGCAGGAGTTTCCTGAAGGCATCTTGCTGACCGTGGTTGGAAAGAGAAAGCCTCTGATCCAGCAAGACAGTTTGTTACAACATTAAAGGGACAGCAGACAGTGGTATGGATGTCTTTTTGCCACTGTTGGCTGCGGTGGCTGAGTGGAACCTGGGAGTTCGGAAGCCCTCTGCATCTCAAAACACCATTGTTAGCAATGACATCTGATCCAAAATAAATAGCGTGCCATAGTGTTTGCAAATGCATTTGCCACGCCAAGGGAGAATCTCTGTCTCGTGCATGGCCGTGGCTATTTGAGATTGAAAGATGGGCTAAGTCCATCTTTGTTGACATCTGACTCACCGATTGGCCAGTGACTCTTTTGGCCTTGTGGTACCCTGCTGGTGTTTCCACACAGGTGTGCGTTCTTTGCCGCATGTGGAGTTGTAAGAAACCTTTTTCTCTTCAGTCCAGATGTTATTCCTCGGGGGGGCGGAAAGGCTTTATATCTGGCTTTGTAGAGAATATCAAGCAGGAGCTGGCAAAAAACAAAGAGATGAAAGAAAGTATCAAGAAGTTCCGGGATGAAGCAAAGAAGCTGGAAGAGTCGGAGGCTCTCCAGGAAGCAAGAAGAAAATATGTAAGTTTCCTTTTGTCCGTAGTGGGTGGCAGGCGGCCTTTGGATGCAGGAAAACTAGACTCTGTAAATTCGCTGTTTATAATTACAAGTAAGCATGTATTACTGGGACTCTTCAAAGTGGTTCACCTTTTCTTCTTATTACTTTTTATCTCTGTCTCTGTTTATAATTTTATTAATTTGCAAATGAAAGTATCAAGAACTTGGGGGGGGGGGGCACTGTATTTATTTCCTGCATAGAATTCTGATGAGAGTGCTGAGCCCCACTAACATCGCCTCCCCCCCCCCGCATGCCATACAGCAGACAGGCTTCAGTGGAATGCTGCCCAACACCCAAGAGAGTGCCCTCCCCATGCCTCCTTGACCGTACAGACAATAAGCAGCTGGCTTTGGTGAATTCCCTTCTTAATTGATTGCATTTTTATCCTGTACTTCCTTCAAGGAGCCCAGGTCAGCAGCATACACGGTTCTCCTCTGTTTTGTCTTCACAACAGTTCTGTGAGGTAGGCTGAGAGTTACCAGCCCAAGGTCCCCCAGTAAGTTTCATGGCAAGTGGCGATTTGAACCCAAGTTCTCCCTGGTCCTAGTCACTGCAACACCATAGTGACTCTCCCCGTAAGATGTATCAGCATTTCCCTGTTGCTGAGAAAGGGCTGTGAGAGGACATCAGGCCAAAGCTGTGATAAGTGTCCAGCTGTTCCAGTGTTCAAACTAGGGGCCTCCCTGTAGCAATTTGGTTTTGATTGGATCCTGGTTTTGACGCAGGAAGTTACATGCTCTTTGATCAGAAATGGGGATATTTTATTGGATGGTGAATCGACTTCCAGTGTATCATCCAGTGTGACCTAGTTTTTGTTTAACGAAAGAGAAGCGAGCAAGCGTGTGTCTAGTCCTCAAGAGTGGTTTAATAAGTAACACCATGTTAACCTTCTCTAAGCTAGCCTTATGAACGCAAGTATTACCAAATTTTAGTATCTTCCTGGAACCTCCCTAAGTCTCAACCCTGATTCTTCGCATATTTATCCGAAAGTAAGACTCACTTAGTTTTTGGCAAGATTTGCTCTTCATATAAGTTCGTGCAAGATTTCCAGGCATCACAATGGCCCAGGTGACTTTCAATGGGAAATGTATTTCAAGAAATACCATTTAGTAACTTATTTACTGTAACCTGAAAGGTGTGAATGAAACTTCCGTATTTCCCCCTTTTCAACAGACATTATGTGCCTGTTTTTCTCTCCCTTGCAGAAAACCATAGAGTCTGAAACAGTAAAGACTTCCGAAGTCATTAAAAAGAAGCTTGGCGAATTCACCGGCACAGTCAAAGAGGTTTATGTTGTTTTTAGTTTATTTTATTCGTTAAAGATTCTGGCTTTCCCCCTTTCTTGAGGCTCAGGGCAAATAATTTTAAAACCCCAAGCCCTATTTAAGAACCCCAAGCAGTACAGAGGCCGAAGCCGCCTCCCCTGTTGTTGCCCCCAGCAGCTGGTATTCAGAGGTACACTGTCTCTGAAAGTGGAGGTTCCATTTAGCCATAATGGCTAGTAGTCATCTGTGAATTTCTCCTTGAATTCTCTAATCTCCTTTCCACACCCTTTAAATGGGTGACTGTCATGTGGCTGTGAGTTCTGCAAGTGAAATTCTTCCTTATGTGAAGGAGGATTTCCTTTTTATCCATTCCAAACCTCCTGCCCCATTGGTTCTGAGTTCTAATCTTCCGGGGGTGTGTGTGTGTCTTAGTGGCTGCTTTTTAAGGGAATTGGGGTTTGGGGGTGCCGGCCTTTTCAGACCAGTGGGTAATTCCTCCCCCCCCCCCCCGTGAACCCCCTTCTTCCCTCGGGCCGCAGAGCCTAGATGAAGTTAGCAAGAGTGACATCGGCCGGAAGATCAAGGAAGGAGTGGAGGAAGCGGCCAAGACAGCCAAGCAGTCAGCAGAGTCAGTCTCCAAGGGTGGGGAAAAGCTGGGCCGGACAGCAGCATTTAAGGCCATTTCTCAGGTAAGTGCCTCTCTCTGGAGCTGAGCTTATGTGAGCTCCCACACATCCTGCGACTGGGTTGAAAATGGGCCCTGAATCCGGCGTATTTTTGCCAGAATTATTCACATTTTAATTGTTAACATATCTGTAACGGTTTCATGTGTTGGTGTGTATGTTTCTTTAAATGTTTAGTTTGACTGCAGTAATGTAAGGAGAGTGATAGAGGTAGATGAGTGTGATGTGACTGGCTGGTGATTGAGAGTGTGGGAGGAGGGGTGTCTCTGAGGTGATTTTGTGTTTTTTTGTTGTTGTTTTTGGTGAGATGAGTGTGGAGAGTGGGTTTTTTTTAGCCTGTATGGCAGAAGCAGCAGTTTGAGTTTGTCCTGTGAGGCTAAGGCAAACAGTTTAGCCGGTGTGGCTAAGAGAGGCAGAGTTTAGCCTGTGTGGCTCAGGCTGTCAGAGTTGAGTTTTGGTGTTTTGAGAGACAGTGTGTGACGCCCAGCGTTATCAGTTATAGTTATAAGTTCCTTTCTTCAACAGCAGTTCAAAAATACCCAGAAACCTATTTTGTTCTTTTATAAATAAATCATTATTTGTTTAAACTTATCCCAGCAGTCAAAACAGTCCTTCCTCAGGGCGACATAGTCCTCTGAAGTGCCCACACACAGGGTCATTCTACCATAATAGAGAGATTTGGAATTTTTAATTCCTGGTGGCAGCAGTAATCTACTAAGTGTATGTGAACAGAGTGTATTGTAAAGGAAAAACAGTCTCCTCATTAAGGAGGACGTCACAATATCCTTGAAAACGTATTGTGTATATGTCTATCAGGGGGGTCTCCAGCGTTTTTTAACCTGTGGTCACCTTTGTAATTCTGACACTGGATGGTGGGCACAGCCACAAAATGGCTGACGCAAGAGGCAGGGCCAACCTCAAAAATCTCAGGAAGTGTGGTCATGCATCGGAGTCCTCTTTGAGATGGCTTACGATTAAAACCACAATATAAAACATAAACCATTTTTGTAAAAGCCATTAAATTGAAAATGTCCCTCAGGAAAAAAGAGGAAGAGCTGTTTTTCCCAAGACTTTCCTCATTTTCCCACCCAGGCCTTCACACTTTTAGGTCCTCTGCTTTATTTGAGTCCCCAGAAGAGTTCACAGCAGAAAGGAACTGGAACCAGAGACTTCCGGTATCTTGCTTTGAGAAGCATCCCTCCATTACTATGCTGGCTTCAGTCCTCTCCTGCCAGCCCCCCCCTTCCCTATCTCCCTCTATTGCTGTGGCCCCAGAAGGCACAGCAGCCTTGACTCTTTGACGTAAGCGGATGCTTCTCTCACAGGGAGTGGAGACGGTCCGGAAAGAGATTGACGAGAGCGTCCTGGGCCAGACGGGGCCTTACAAGCGGCCAGAGAGACTGAGAAAGAGAACGGAGTTTTCCGGGGAGAGAAGCAAAGAAGAGCGGGTGTTCGAAGCCAACGAGTGGGTATCAGCCGAAGCAGGGAGGGTTGCTGGTTGTGCATGAGGGACCTCTTGGGCAAGGAGGAGGGAGAAGCTTGCCTGGTGGGGTGGTGGCAGCAGGCTTGGGGGAAGCCGTTCTCCAGAGTACCGTCTGGCGTGCACACTCAGCAGGGCCCCAATGGAGAGACTGGAGGAGGAGTCTCTTAGGGCAGGGGTGTCAAACATATGGCCCGGGAGCTGTATCAGACCCCTGGAGGGCTTCTATCAGGCCCGCAGCAGAACTGGCTGCCTTCTGCTGCTTCTTCCAGTTCTGCTGCTGCTGCGTCATCGTAGGTTTGCAGCTTACAGACACACACCTGAACAGCATACTCAAGATTGCAATGGCACAGACATTCTGATGCAGTAATTCAGAGCAAGAGGTGTCTGTTATCAGACACTGCTAAACAAACAAAATATTGCAAGGGTGCTGATGTTTTAAGCATGTTTTTATTATAAGTTAAAAAAAAACCCTTTGTGTTTGTGTGCTTTATAAAGTTAATCTCTCCGCTACCTGGCATTACGTTTTATGACACACATGGCCCGGCCCAACAAAGTCTCCTTTATGTCAGATCCGGCCCTCATAACAAATGAGTTTGACACCCCTGTCTTAGGGGCTGTATCCTCCCGGTCTGCTCAGCTGAGAGCAGCTCCCTCCTCCCAGTTAAGAAGCCTTCTTCCCATATAAGCAGCTTATTCACAGCCGCATCCATCTCCTGCAGCGAAATAAACTGAGAATCCACCGGCACCTTGAAGGTGAACAGCGCTTATTTCAGCATGAGCTTCCCTGAGTCGGCGCTTGCTTCCTCAGACACTTGCAAAGAGGAAATTGTTTCCTCTCGGCAGCATCGCAAGCCGTGAGCTCCGACTCATGAATGCTCATGCCAAAGCATAAGGCCGTTCGTTTTTTTAAGGTGCAGGCGGGCCTCTTGTTTTAATCTGCTGGCGTTCCGTCGGAGGAAGGCTTCGCTGTTAGGTGAGCATAGTCGTTGGATATGGTCCCTGGCCTCCAGCGGAGGTCAGTCAGGTCAGTTTTTACTGTGAACTTGTTTCAGTTTGAGTAATTCGACTGCAGGGATGAGGACGGGTAGAAATGGCCCAGAGAAGGGCCTCTGTTCACTGCAGGTTTTGTGCTGCGCCGGCATTGCAGGTGGGAGGGGGGGAGGGTTGCCCTGCACCCAAGTATAAAAGGGGGGCAGTTCTTTGGGGGAGGTAGCAGTTGGGTACCGAGCCCAGGTATTTTATCTCTTTATCTATGATATTTCTCTACCATCTCCTCAGACTTAATCAAGGAAGCCATGGCCCTTAGTTTGCAAGACCTGAGAATGGCTGTTGACCACAGGACATTTGGGAGGTCAAGAATTCATAGGGTCACCGTGTCAGAAGCGACTTGACAGTCAGGGGCATTTGGGGGTGGTGCCCCACCACAGATGAGCCCTGGCCCACCCCAGGAGGATGCAAGACCCCCCCACACACACCTGCTGCGCTGCGCTCCTGACCCCTGACCCTCTGCCGCCTCCCTGGCTCTTCCAGGGAAGGCTTCTGGTCAGTTTCACTCTCCCCCCATCAGCTGTTAGGTTTAACAGCTGATGGGAGGGAGTGAAGCTGACCAGAAGGGGGCAGGGCAGCTCTGGAAGGGAAGGCCCCTAAGTTTTTTTAATTTTTTTTTTATTTATTATAATTATTGCAGCTTATATACATACTCTTACATTAAATCATTGTGCTATCCTTTTACCCCCCCTCCCTCCCCCCTCCCTCCTTTATAGTATCTTCATATTTTTAACCATGTGCACAGATTCTTCATTCGTATTTGGATATTTGGATTGGCTTCCCCCCTTTCCACCCATTCCTTATATCCCACCCATTTATTTGTAATCTTTTGACATTTCTCCTCCCATGTCTCTTCAGTAATTATCTGTGCGAATATATCTGATTGTACGCGTTCAAAGACATAATTATTCCAATTTTCCATTGTCCATTTGTGCCTATCCCTCCATCCCAATGCTATTACAGCCATCCCGGATAAAACCATAATTTTATATAACTCATTTATTTCTTCCCACTTTTTTATTTCCCAATATTCCCGAAATAAGCAAGTCCCTATTAATCTCTATATTAACTTGAAATAAATCAAAGATAACCCTTACAATCTTTTGCCAAAATTCCTTAACCACTTTACATTCCCACCACATATGGGCGTATAGACCTACTTCTTGGCCACAGTGCCAACACTTTGGATTCGTTCCTTTAATCATATACGCTATCTGAGCCGGAGTTCTATACCATTTCCATATAAATTTCCTCACCAATTCTTTATCTCTTATCTATTTTAATTTGGTTTATACCCTTCATTATTTCTTGAGTCACTTCCTGATGCATTAAACCTTCTCCCTCCTATTTATTCTGTATGATCCTTATCATCCTCTCCTTATCTCTTACCATCAGTTTATATAACGCCCCCGCTATCCCTTTTTCTTTTACTTGTCTTCTGCTTAATATTTCATTAATTGTTGTTCTCTCCCTGCTTATCCCCTCTATTCTTTCAGATTTAACTAAGTCATATAATCCTTGCACCTCTAACCAATATTGCTTTCCTACTTTGTCTAAAAAATTGTTTTTTGCAATTAAAGTTCCTCCTTCCACAAACATATCTTTTAGCGGGAAGGCCCCTAAGTGACCTGCCCCTCATGAAGTTTTTCTGGCTAAGGGGCTGTTGACGGCCCTTAAAATATGCACACACCTCTCTTCAGAGTCTTGTTCAAGGCAGCTTACAATGAAAAGGAATCGTATGAAACGCAAGCCTTTATTTATGTATTTATTTTAAACATTTGTGTTTATTAATTCAATTTTTATTTTTACAAAAAAAAAAAAGATCGCATCACATATATTAAGACTATAAATGAAGCATGTAAGACCATGAGGTTAAGATGAATAAGCCCCGATCAACTATAAAAACAAGAGGCTCTGCTTATATTCATATCAAGTCCACATAATTCTCATCATTCGGTGAAATGTCCATCAAATAATGAATAACAGGAGACCACGATTCAGTGTATGCTAGTTTCTGTCGATCTGATCTACTCAGTTGTGTATTATTCATAAGTTTACCTAAAATATAAAATGTCCCACAACTATCGTCGGCATTTTCTGATCTTTCCATTTTGAGGCTAACAATGTTCTAGCCGCCGAAATTAGAGTTGTTAGCCATCTTTCTGCCTTCTGAAATGCAAGGCAGCTTACAATGTGAACAAAAGCAGTGATTGTAAAAATACATTTTAAAAACCCCACAGTGAAAAATATCACAGCTTAAGATGGCCAGGAAATAGAAAACCTGAATTAATCCAATGCCATCCTAAATTAAACTGTCTTAAACTCCTCCTAAAGATCGAAAGTGAGGGGGCCAAGGCCGATTTGTTTTGTAATTGTTAAAAACACGTTGGATACAAGCAGCATAAAAATTATTCGTAAAACAGAAGCAGACCATTAAAAGGCTGATAAGACCTCAATTAAAAGCCTGAATTTAAAAAAGAAGATGTCTTTTGGCCTGGCGCTTAAAAGAAATTAAAGTAGGTGCCAGGCGATCCTCAAGGGGGAGGGTGTTCCTAAGGAGAGGTGCCACCCAGTGTTCCCTCTAAGCTGAGTTTGTGTGAGCTAGCTCACAGTTTTTTAACCTCTGGCTCACACAGTTCTGTCTCAGCTCAGAAGGATGGCTCCAGGGAAAACTAATTTATGCAGTAGCCAAATTGCTTGCTCACAACTTTAATGGCTGTAGCTCACAAAGCAGAATTTTTGCTCACAAGATTCCACAGCTCAGAGGGAGCATTGGCGGGCACCACAGAAAAATCCCTGTCTCGTCATCCCCGTTTGGAAGATGACTACACTGCTCAAGGTTGTCCAGTCTCCCTCTCCTGAGATGGCTTTTTCCTCCATTGCAGAGAGGCGATGGGGGTGGTGCTCCACAAGGACTCCAAGTGGTCCCAACAGTGGAAGGAGTTCAGGGACAACAATGTGGTCTTCAACCGTAAGTATGCCCACAAGCCACAGATTCACCCTTGTTGCCGGAGGGGAGGGGGATGGCCTTGGCAGGCCATCCTCTGCAAAGGGAACCGGGGTGTGCGTGGCAAGACCACGGCTGACATTTGCCGCTTCCCCCAGGGTTCTTTGAAATGAAGATGAAATACGACGAGAGCGACAACGCCATCATTCGGGCTTCAAGAGCCGTTACAGACAAAGTGACTGGCTTCGTTGGTATGTCTCTGTAATGAGTCCATGTGTTTGGGGGGGGGGTGTCTTTAAATGTTGAGTTTGACTGCAGTAATGCAAGGAGGGCGATAGGGGGAGATGAGTGCGCTGTGACTGGCTGATGACTGAGAGTGTGGGAGGAGAGATGTTCTGAGAGGAATCTGTGTGTGTTTTTTAAGACAGAGTTCTGTGGAAAGTGAAGTGTGGAAGAGCTATGAAGAGAGTCTGTGTGACTCTAAACGTTTTGTGAGAGAGTCTATATGGCAAAGAAACAAGTAGTGTCTAAACTGTGTGGTTAGATAAATGGTTTATCTTATGTGCCTAAGACAAAGAGCTTAGCCAGTGTGGCTACATATAGGAGAGAGAGAAGCCTGTCAGTGTGGAATTTTAATATTTGAGAAACTGTGTGTGACCCTTTGCCAGTTATATTTACAAGTTCCTTTTTCCAGAAACAATTCAAAATAACCAGCATCTTATTTTGTTCTTTATTCAATAAATCAATTTTGGTTTCAACATATCCCAGAAATCAGTGCAATACTTCCTCAGGGCCACATAGTCCTCTGAAGTGCCTAGAGCCTGGGTCATACTGCCAGCAGAGAGAGAGAACTGGATTTTTTAATTCCTGGTGGCAGCAGAAAACTTCCAAGTTTATATACACAGAGGGGTGGTTTAAAGGGAAAACAGTCTCCCCCATAAGCAAGCACGTCACAGTCTCTCTCTTCCTCTCTCCCCTACCATCACTCCTCTTATGTCCTCCTGTTTTCATTTGCGCTGCAAGGGAAGTTAGGTTTTCCACAAGTGATTAATACTTGGCCCAGGTGTATTGCTGGTTTTTAACCTTCTCCGTACCAGCACAAACTAGAGAAGTTCCAGTCTCTCTCCAAGATCCTCTGCAAGTGCTGGCAGCTCAGCTGAGAGCTGGGGAGGGGGTGACAGCAACCACAGGTGATGAGTGGCTAGTAGGCCCCTGAGAAGGCAACGCAAAGAACAATGCTTTCGTAGTGGCCAAACCTACCCTTGACCTCTGGAGGAAATCCTGAAAAGTCTCTCTCTAGCTCTGAATCTTCCTCTGGAGGTGGGGGGCTCTCCTCCTTGGGAGGTTTTTAAGCAGACGCTAGATGGCCATCTGACAGCAATGCTGAGTCTGTGAATTTAGGCAGATCACGAGAGGGAGTGCAGGAAGGGTGCATCATTGCTTGGTTCTTGTGGCTCTTTCTCGCACGTCCATAGCCACTTTGGGGTCAGGAAGCCATTTTCCTCCAGGCCAGTTTAGCCGGGGATCCTGGAGGGTTTTTTTGTCATCTTCTGGGCATGGAAGAGGGGTCACTGGGGGTGTGGGGTGGGGAGGTAGTTATGAATTTTCTGCCTTGTGTAGGGGGTTGGACTAGATGACCCTGGAGATCCCTTCCAGTTCTGTGATTCTGTGGGTGCTGTCCCACATTCTCAAGCCTTTCTCTGTGTTCACAAGGACTAGGAACTTGGGTTTTGTTTGTTGTCTCTATTATTTATTTTATTTATTTATTATTTGGATTTATATCCCGCCCTCCCCGAAGGCTCAGGGCGACTAACAAGGGCATAAAATGCCAGATTATAACAATAAAACAATATAAAATACAATAATACAGAGTACTACAATTAATTAAAATTGGTAAAAATAAAATCGGTGCTCCAAATACTCACTCTGAATCATACAACCAAGGTGGTGTTCTTAAGATGTTATAACTGAACCACAACAGCGATATATGTCCCCACAACCCTGTCATCCGCTAGGGACGACCTGCACCCCCGATGATACCCGCACCAGCGGTGGTAGAGTGCGGTGATGGAAAGGCGTTGATGGAATAATGGTGGCGGCGGCTCCTACTCGAAAGCCTGGCGGAAGAGCTCCGTTTTACAGGCCCTGCGGAACTGTACAAGGTCCCGCAGGGCCCAGATCTCTTCTGGGAGCTCATTCCACCAGGTAGGAGCCGCCACCGAAAACGCCCTAGCCCTGGTCACAGCAAGTTTGATGGTCTTGGGGCCTGGAATATCCAGGAGGTTTTGGCTTCCTGACCGTAGTGCCCTTGGGAGAACATGCGGGGAAAGGCCTTAGGTATTAAGAAGCTTGCTAAGAATGTCAGGGCCTCAAGCCCTTCTTCCCCAGCGCTCGAGTAATCCTCTTCCACGGGCACAGCCTGCTCCTCCCAGGGCAGATCCTCCCATTCCCAGCCCCATTTCTCTCCTCCTTCCTGTGTGATTCCCTTCTTTGCACCAATGCGGTTTTGCGCATCTATCCTGCCAGGCGGGCTGTTCTCCAAGACGGAGATGTCGGAAGTGCTGACGGAGATCCTTCGCATCGACCCCACCTTTGATAAAGATCGGTTCCTGAAGCAGTGTGAGAACGACATCATTCCCAACATCTTGGAGGTCCGTTGGGCGGGGGGGGGGGGGGGGGGGGGAGAGACTCGTATTATTTATAGAACTTTTGGTCTCTGTACTTTTCCCAGCTCTGCGATGTCTTTTCCGAGATACGGTGACAGAAATGCAAATATTATTCCAAACGGGGCCACACCATAGATGTGTACAGGGGCATGACAATATCAGCCGTTTCATTCTCAATCCCTTTCCTAATAATCCCTTATATAGAGTTTGCCTTTTTCACCACTGCAGCACACTGGGGTTGACACTTTCATTGAGCTATTCACTACGACCCAAGATCTTTTTCCCTCTCAGGCTCAGCAAGTTCAGACCTTGTTAGCCTATATTTGAAGCTGGGATTTTTGTTTTGTTTGTCCCAGTGTGCACTTTGGAGTTGCACCTCCGACCTGTGGATGTGGTGGCTGCTGCAGAACTGCAGAACCAGTGTTCCCCCTAAGCTGAGTTAGTGTGAGCCAGCTCACAGTTTTTTAGCTTCCAGCTCACACATTTTTATCCTAACTGAGGAAGGATGGCACCACAGCAAACTAATTTATGCAGTAGCCAGATTGCTCGCTCACAGCTCTCATGCCAGTAGCTCAGAAAGTAGAACTTTTGCTCACAAGACTCCACAGCTTAAGAGGGAGCATTGTGCAGAACCCGTCCGCCTCGGCAGAGTGGCATAGTTTAACCAACATACCTGAGGGACCGCCTTTCCCCATATATACCCCAGAGTGCACTACGGTCGGCGCCCCCAAATCGATTGACCCTCCCTGGTCCTAAGGCAGCCAGGCTCGCTGCCACCAGGGTCAGGGCCTTTTCAGTGGTGGCTCCTCTCTGGTGGAATGAGCTCCCGAGAGAGATCAGGGCCCTGCGGGACCTCTCACAGTTCCGCAGGGCCTGCAAGACGGAGCTCTTCCACCAAGCTTTCAACTAGGAGCCGCCCCCACTGTCACTACCAACTCTTGGCCTTGAGGGCCGGCTATGTGAAGAACATAGAGAAACGGAAAACTTACAAAGTACGCCGCCTTGTATAATTAGAGAAATATCGACAGTACTATTCTGAATTTGAATTGTTTAATGATGATTTTACCGGATTTTAATTGTTATTTATATACTGTGTGCAGTGTTTTAACGAACGTAAGCCACCCTGAGCCTGCGTAGTGAGGAGGGCAGAGTATAAGTTGAGTAATAAAAAAATAAATTAAATAGTTCATCATCGTGGCTTCTTTGCAGTTCCACATGGGATCTGCGCAGGCGCAGGCCAGCCACGGAAAAGATTTGCAAGCATTCTAATAGACTAGGAGCGCCCCTCCTCCCTCGGGCGCTTTCCCGCCAAAACGCTCACATGACCAGGAGGAGGGGCGCTACTCCCTCAGTTCTCTTTTTGCCGCCACGGAGAGATCATCTCCACTGCTGTTCTCTGTGTTTTTTCCTCACCTCACATCTGAGGCTGAGGAGATTTTTTATTCTCAACAGTTTTTTATTCAAGTAAACAATGAAATACATCTAAAGAAGAATTTATTTTTATTTTTTTCCCATTATGACTAAAAAGGCATGTGTGGAAAGAGCTGGACTCAGAAGAGCTCTCTCCAAAGGCTTCCCCCTCCCTGGTAGAGGAGGGGTGGACAAAGAGCCAGGCTGCGATGGCGCTCTTCAGGACTGAGTTCGCCTAGCCTGATGATGGCCTATTCCCCCTCTGCTGAGGGTGTGGACAAAGAGCCGGGCTGCGATGGCCCTCTGAGGAGGTTGCCCCTGTGCCCAGCAGCCAGAGGATGGCCTATTCCCCCTCTGCTGAGGTGTGGTGAAAAAATAAATAAATAAATAAATGGGGAAGAAAGGAGTCTGGAGGTGTATCTTCCCCCCCCCCCTCCGTGCTGGGGTGTTGTAGACAGAGCCTCAGAATAACTGGCTCTTTTCATGGGCTTGGGATGTGTGCCTTGACGTCGAAACATTTCTGTCTAGTCATTCCCTGAGGAGTCTCTGGCCTCTATGCCTTCGATGTCTACCTAGAAGCCCTTCCCTCCCCCCTCCCCCCTCTCGGTGCCGATAGGGAGAGAAGAGCAGGCTGGGAGGCGTGGCCCAGCAGAGGCTGTTTGAATGAAGGCCCCTCCCTCCCTTTCGAGTGAAGAAGCTTGGAAGTGCGGCCTGGCAGAGACTGCCTGGGCCTGCCTTAATGATTCTGTGGCCGCTCCCATCACTTCCAGTGAAGCAGCTTGGAGGCCTGGCCTGGCAGAGGCATGGCCTGCCTTAAGGAGACTTTCCCCCTCTCTGCCTTTCTGTCACTTCTGACCAGAAGCCTGGAAGTGTGGCCTCATGAAGGCCCTCTTTAAGCCTTTGCTGTGCCTGACTGAAGGAACCCTTCCCTGGCTATCCTCAGGTCCACAGTGGAATCTGTGGAGGCATGGGTTCACACAGCCTTGTAATTCTCTATGCCCCTTTGTGGAAGGTATTATGTGTCAGAATGCTGTTGTACCCTTTAGTTGGGGTTGTTTGGACCTCTTCAGCTTCTGTAGTTTTGA